GTTGACGTGCGAGGTACCGGAATCTAGCATTCCCATGACTTGCCATCTGCCAGTCTCACTTGGTGATGCCCTTTTTGGTAAAATCTGATAAAGCTGATGGTGTTTTTCAGAGGCTGCTTAGACTAGTAATGATAACGGACAGGGTACGAGGCCTTCAAAAGAACGGCTGAAGATATTTGTCCCAAACTTGTATTACCGTTGCTTGTTCGGTTTCTTCGAGAGACCAACTGGTCAATTAAGCTATTATCTTTTTTTTTTCTCAAAGACTCGAAAACGGCATTTCTAGTTGTTATGGGACAATTCATATGCTTACTAGAAACAGTTAACACTGGAATTGGTGTCATGTGAGTGAGTGAGTGTTATCAGATGCCACTTATTGTTCAGTGATATCAGAGGCGGACGTTAGAATGAGTCCCCACACTGTACCAACGTGTGAAGTCGAACCATGCACTTTGTATTATGTGCAACCGCTTACTATAAGGCTAGCCCACGTACCCCTGATGTCACAGGGAACAGGTACCTTGGTATATGCTCAATAACATGACGTATTCAGGCTATCATCGAATGTCTGGTGTCTGAAATCTTGTTAGGTGAATACAAATCAGGTTTTATTCTACAGGGAAGTAAAATGCCATTATCTATCCGTATCTCCTGTGCTTAGCCGACAGTTCATGAAGTTAATCTATTGGTTTATCAACAATAAGACAATCAATCAACATAAAAAATACTTCTATAACTAAACAATGGTGGAATAGCTCACAATGGAAGCCGTGTCAGGGCGATATGGGAGGTTAATAACACACGCGACACCATTTCATATACTCTAAAAGGATTACCTATGTCACAGTATGCATAGACCAAGACAAAGGCAAACATCCTGATTCTCCCAGGTGCTCTTCCTGTCTGTCGAAACTTATCAGCAAACCTCATGTTTCAGTTTCTGTCCTGCCAAAGTATGACATGTTTTGTAGTCACGTATGGAGTTACGGTCGCATTAAATGATAAGTAACATATTTACCTACTTGAAGCAAGACGCTAATATTTTTAGTTAATCGATCACGTCGACTAGACTTCACAATGTAAACATTCCATATATTGCTGTAATCACTTATCACGGTGAAGTGGAAGGCATATCGATTATGTTTTATACCAAGCTTTCTAAGATTAACGGCCAGGGTGGCACGTTGGTCGGTGTTGCCTAATGTTTCAAAACGCACCCTTCTGTTAAGACAGTAAACGTCCCCAGAAATAATATATGGTTACAGTCACTGACGTCGCACTGGTTGGGTTACATGAACCTCGCCTGGTCTGACACTTAAACCTTAACCTGCCGCTGATGTACTTTTTGTTAATATATATATATATAGCCACAAAGACAGAAGTCTCAAGATCCTTGTACAGATGTAATTTCTTTAATATATATATATATGTGTGTGTGTTATTGGAGTGAGTGAGTGAGTTAAAATATATATATATGTGCGTGGGTGTGTGCGTGCGTCTGCGTGCGTGTATAAAACCATCGATGTGCTGACTGCAACACGAGAAGGGTCAGCTAGCTCGTCAGCAGCCATGATATTGCAGGAACTGAATGGAAACTACTTGATGGATGCTTGCACAATGCAGCCTTCACAATATAGCGTGTACTAAGCATGTGAAGTAATATTACCCCTTTGCGCAAATACTATAGTATCCTTTGCGCAAATCCGGATGTTCTTATTCCTTATATAGAAGCGACTGAACCCTTTCCACATACGAACCCGTGAAGGTCCGGCTTAGAATGAACCTTCAGTAACCGATGCTTGTCAAAAGAGTCGACTAACGGGATCGGGTGTGGTCAGGTGGTCGGACTTGGTTCGCTGTCATCGGTTCCCAATTGAGCATAAATCGATGTTCATGCTGTTGATCACTGGGTTGTCTGGTCCAGACTCGACTATTTACAGGCCGCCGCCGCCATATTGCTGGAATATTGCTTAACTCACTCACTCCAACATACGTAAGCAATCACTGCTGAAAGAAGAGTCGATTGTACAATTCTGACCATATCATCGGTGTTTGCATATTCGTTTGTTTGTTTGATGAACGCCGCATTCAGCATTATTATAGCTAAATGACGGCAGTATGTAAAGAATCGTGTCGGGACCAGACAATCAAGTGATTGACGTCATAATATACAGTGACAGAACATGTGTTTATGAATCACTGTCATTAAAGTACAAATTCCCAGTACTTTTTGTTGGGTTGAGTCCTATCCGGGATTCGAACCCACACCCTCAGAGTCAGGCACCTAATCGCCAGCACACACAAGTGGGTTAGACGGCTAATCGTCGAGGTAAGCTTCGAAGGCAACGAGCTGTCCTGAACAAAACGTTGTTCCGTCCATTCCATCCCTAGAAGTCGACACGATTGTCATGAACCGATCCCAAACTTTCGTACGATCTGAATGATGCCCTACCCATCTGTACCCAACTGGTGTAACCCACTATTGTTCCCCAGATTGTAATTTTAATCTTGATGGAATAATCATCATCGTTGTGTTGGAGTCTGATCTTCACTCGCCCTCAATCAACAGAAGGTTCATTCGAGTGTGTTCCACTCCACCCCAACCTGCTAAAGAATGCCTAGTCCTAAGAAAGCTAGTCTCAAGGACGACGTAATATTGATGATCTATGTAAGGTATGAATTCGATCTCTCCTAAGGCTGGAATGAGGCTGATTCCAATGGTGTGGTTCTGGCTTACAGTATGGTGGCACTGCTAGTTATAGTTACAACAGAAGCCACCCCACGTTCCTTCTGTCTTCTTTGCTTGAAAATACGTATATAGTTCCCAACTCACTTCACTCACTCACTCACTCACGACTGTAATCCTATACGAATTGACCCCTTTGAAGCAAGTCTCTTGAAAGAGACCATATATGTATAAAACAACTAACTGAAATTAGACTGGATAACAGGTTTTATTAGTCTTTAGATCAGACCACTACTATTTCACTTGTGGGTAAATACGTCATGATACAAAGTTGTCTGTAACACAATAATCAGCTTAAATATTGATAAATCTCTGATTGTTACGCTTCACTCATATTTGAATAAGATGAGTTATCCAACCAAGAATAGAAAAAAGCAATGCCAGTTTAGCTAAGTCCTTATGATAGGTAACCTTTGATTGACGTAAAGCACAAATACAGGTACAACGCAACTATGTCCTTCTTGTTTTACAGATTATTCTCTTGTGTTGATTCTTATTCAAAAATAAAAGCTGGAATATTGCTGAGTGCGGCGTAAAACCAAACTCACTCACTCACTCTTATTCAAAATAACTCATATATGACTGCAGTAATCAATCAAAATGTATCTCAAGGACTATAGAAGCTTCATCATCCACCCATCTCCCAGTCTCTAATATTTTCTGTCGAGCCTCATTCCTGTGTTGACTCCTTGCAAGACTTCTCTTCCTCCGGAATGACTCAGTTGGTGAAATGTGAAGGGTGATATTGCGAATCTGCTGTGATCGGAACACGTGACCCTGCCCACACGTCCAGGTTGCGCTGCACGTCAGCCTTTATCAGATCAAGGTCAAGGTCATCATAGACATGGAACTCGACTCCAGATACGTTCTTGTTGTAGACCATGAGAACCTTCGAAAAAATACCCGTGAGAAATTAACTGTGCAGTATGTGAGAGTCATCACAATGCGTAGTTGCAGGGAGTATGTTGTTTGAATCTTCTTTCGAGCACATCCTGGGGGAAGCTACTCTCATGGCTTAATCTGCAACAGGGCATGCCCGGTGATCTTCGTTTGCATGATGTTTTACAAACAGCAACTAATCTCATATCAATCATTGCCAGTTAAAGGTGACACTATTTTGCATGACTATTGTTCCTATGCCTTGACGCCAAAACTACACAACACTACCTGCGATACGGGACATGTAACCATTCAGCGTAGCTCATAACATATTTATCCGTACGTGGAGACACACAATTCGGTCATGACTTGTAATTGATGCCAGTCTCGGCGTTGTTGAAGTAAAAATTAGAAATACAAAATGCACACAGTATATTTCTTTGTACGAACTTTGTCATCCATAAATTTGTGATAAATGTGTTTTATAATGCTGCCTAATCGTGATTACCTTCAGAATTCCTTTTAAGCTCTTAATATCTTCCTGGTGATCTACGTAGACTCGAACCCTGCCCGCAGCCCTGTAGGCCATCTCCTGCTCCACCAGTTCCATCAATGGCATTGATTCTTCTCGGAGCTGAACATCAAGACCTCAATACTGCCTGAAGGTTCTGTTGGATAACGTGACGTCATCAACGGCACTGGAACCAAGCAATATTACAAGTTGGCTAATGATATAATAAAGTGATGCAATAATGTTCCTGCGAAGAACAATTTTAAGGCATAAATCATTGAATTTTAATTTAAGGAAATCGTTTCCATGAATCCTCACTGAGATTGAAAGAACAAAAACTATGTTCATCCAAACACAATGTCTCCTCACGTATGATGATGTCATTATTTATCCACATGACTTTATCACAACAGGGGCGACATCCACCTCAAGGCCTTACTACATCTCTCAAAAGGATTTACAGTAGACATGTGAAAGTCGTCTTCTCGTGTATTATGTTGGGTGAACAATAGACTTTCCACTGCAGGCTGGTACCTGGTGTCATATACATGCCCACCAAATAGATGGAATTAAACAATCGAGATTCTTATGATTATTGACAATGTTTACCGCATCCTTTTAGCATACATAAACACAAATTTGGGGCGCTCGGCATTAATGGGTACAACAAGGGCTGGTCGGTTTCATGCTTCATTGCGGCATGGTATCTCAATGGGCTAGCACTATGGAACCAGCTAAGTCTGGGCTAGTACAAGCAGGCGCACATACACATAAACACGCGAAATATGAGCGAAATATTCTCCAGCACGACGTTAAACCCAGTTTCACCTCACCTCACAAATTTGGGTGAAAAGAAAACTCACTTTAACAAAGAGTACAGCTGAATGTTTTCAACACAGATGTTGCTGTCATGACAGGCGAGGGAGTGGACGCTGTAGACTCTGCCGTCTCGGTGTCAAAGAAGGTCGCCCGGTCTGTCAGATCAGGGAAGACTCTGGTTGCTCGGTTGATGAACTTGTCCACCATCACAGAACATGCTTTCACTTTGTCATCCCACAGATGACCTGGAAGGCATACGTGTAGCAAATAGTTCAGTTTATCAGAGCAAACTATCTAAGGAGTTGTACTTGGAAACAAGTTTGTTGAAGCCTGTGAATGTACAACCAACCATTAAAACAAACTTGTCATTGAGATGACAAGAATCAAATTACATGCAAACAAATTACAAGTTGTAACAAATATATGTTTAGAAAATACGTAGACATGGCTTTGACATGACTTCGTCACATTAAGATTTCTGCCGTTACAATGGAGATCAGTAGATGCCTACTACTATTATTATCCATCATGGTAACTGATCTGTGACGTATATGTACCTTTGTGGTTTATGTCATAAACATAAACCAAGTTACCTGTCGCCGGACATCCCCCGCATAACTCAACAAGACATTTCTGTATGTCCGGATTGAGGTCCGCTCTGGGCAGGCGACCAAATCCAGCAGCTGAAGTCATTCGCTCCTGCAACTTTCTAGCCTCCTCCTTGCGGAATGGTAAGGTTTGATTGCAGAATGCTAGCTGCTCTGTCGTGGAGCAGAGTCTGGCGAAACATTCAAAACAGCATTTAACACCTGGCGGTATAGCTTTTGAACATACGGTTTCAAGTAAGCACTAGATATGCATTTCATCTCAAGACAGTTATTCTTTATACTGAGTATGCCCCAGTCGTCTGGGTGCCACAATTCAGTGTACACTGTTGCACCACTCAGGTGTATCATTGTTCGTGTGTTCGAGTTTTGAATATAATACCAATAATACTGTGTCAATATCACATGAAATCATTCCGTCTTACATACCCATTCTGATGAAACTGGAAGGTGAGGTATTGTTTTGCACTACCTAGAGGATGCATGTCGCAGATCCCTTTGTCAAAAGGATGAATAACAGGACCACCTTAGAAAACATTGGTTTGAAAAATAATAATTATGCAACATGAAATGATGTAAATATAGATATTTGAAAATATTAAAACGTCTGCGCGAAAGAATATTCGGTCTTGACTATCTTCAAAAAACATTCCGTTTGGTGTAAAGGGCAAAATAGCAAATAGCTAAGAATCAGTAATGACACCGGTTGTTCGCAAACAGGGGATAACACGTCCTCCCCTTCAAGCTCACTATTAGGCTTATATTTGGTGTAAATTTGTAAGTGGTACTATGACAGAATCATCACATCACACAGAAGTTATATCTTTATCTCACCCTGAAGTAACTCCTCTTGTATGTCCACTATCTGCCTGTAGTAGGTAGTGTTTCCAGTGTTCCACAGTGCGATGTAGTTCAGCTCATTGCCAACTTGAAGAGGTCTGATATCCACATACAGTCGATCCTGGTGACACCCTACACCTAACCCCCTCATCTGCTGTCTGAGATATGGCGTACAGGATCTGAACAACGTCTTAGCCAAATGCACTAATTCGGAATTATGTCGATACCGAGGTGGCCTCAACTCAACGGCCTGACCTGTTTGAATCTATACATTTCCTCCACATGCCTAATGTCAAAATTCACCATGTTTACGGACTGTGTACGATACCCAGAACCTTTTACAATTTCTACTTTATCACCATATTCCTCGGAAATAAGATCAAGACATTATGAGCAGTGATGAGTCAACCCGCAAATAATGTCTATTTGGACAGCTCATATCTTGATGGTGTAATATTCAGAGAGATAGGTCTCTTTGTCAAAGCCGAGAAAAAGGTTTAAGGATATTGCTTCATGTTCCAGAGATTCCGGGTACAGATATTCTGTTTGTTCATTTGGAGGCGGGCTACAGCAAGCCTAGCAATGTCGTCATGAGAAAATCCTACCCGTATTCCAATGAAATCTTCCTGACTCTTGACAAACACTTCGATAAATTGGGGCTTGAAAAGTTCATGAAATCGAAACCAGAACATGCAGCCAAAACTGACAATCTATTTAAACTTGAAATTGGCGAACTTGTGAGACGCAGCCCTCTGAAAACATAAAGCATCATTGCCTCATGAGGGAATTCATTACAAAATAGTTTAACATTTCCGGATAAAAAGTATAATTTTTATTGCCGACAACAGTACTAAAAACTAGCAAAATAAGAGGCCTCTAAACATTTTCGTCCAGGCTGGTTAAAACTGCATATATTTATTTCAGATATGAGACGTCTGAAGTCATACATGATTTTCATGTTGCTGTTCAGAACTATTCACATAAACGTCACCCGTAGAAATAATATTTTAAGAGTTTCATATAATTTACCACACGTCCCTGGGAATCGTTTAGTTTTCAAATACAATAACAGACTATATCTATCGTCTACCGATATACTGAAATAGGTTAAGAAGTGAGAAGAGGTGGCATTATCAAGGGGAAGATGCTGAATTGTCATGGTCCTTAGTTTATACGTAACACCAAGTAAATAATTAATATTAGGTCTTGGACATGAAGTTTCTGCAAATTGTGTTATTGAGTAGATGAAGTACAGTACAACCAGAAATTATTGAGAATTTAAAGATTGTATTTTTTTTCACTCATTACTCACGTATTAGATGTGAATATTAGCAGAACATAACTCCAGATTCAAAGACAGGTGAACAGTTAGTTTTTTGTCAAGTCACCATGAGCAGCAATGCAGGCTTCAATACGGCGGGGCATACTACTGATCAAAGAAGTTAGGAAAGTCGTGGTCCATGCTGTCCCAATATCGGACCACCTCTTCTTCTATTTCAGCAATATTTGTCAGATTTTTCTAATTGACACTTTCCCCCAAGTCCCCAAACATTTTCTATTGGATTTAGGTCAGGGCTATAGCTAGGCCAATCTAATAATGTCCTTTTTTGGGGTCCGAAACCAGGCCAGTGAATGCTTTGAACGATGTTTTGGTCGTTGTCCTGCTGGAAAATCTTAACATTTCCATAGAACACGTGAGCAGATAGAAGTAAATGTCCCACGAGAATATCTGTGTACCGCTCACTGTTCATATTCCCTTCAATACACAGAGGGCGTTGCCCTAACACAGATATATGCCACCCCACACGTTAAATTTTGACTGTTTCTTTGGGCGTTGATACAAAGTTTTTCAGTTTGTTTGAATTTCAGTGTATTAGGAAACAGCCACACAGAACTTTCTTCTGAGAAAATCACATTGTCCCAGTTAAAATTTCTATGCTGTAAGCACCGGTTCAACCTTTGCTCCTTGTGTTCAGGTTTCATGATCGGTGATGGATTTCCTCGACTTTTCTGCCAACCAATTGCATGCAGCTCAGTTCTAATTGTGTCCTTACAGACAGCTTACAGTTCCTCTATCAATCATATCCAGGGCCTTAAGTTTTCTAAATTCACAGTGTGTTTTAGAAATAAGAATACTGCCGACTCACTGTCACCGATACAGTCAATTTTCTGGGCCTACTCCAGGCTTCCGTGGTGCTGCAATGCCATATCCATTTGCAATAGTTTTTCAAAACGCGATAAACAGTGGACAAAGGATGCCTGTTCTATGGTACTTGAAATCACTTTTAGCTGATCTGATATCCTTTGTTATAATACTCTAACATCAACTACCTCTTCTCTAAACCATCCATACTGAGGGATCCCTGAAAATGTCGTCTGCTAGCAAGTCAACAAAAGGGGATAACTCTTCACAAACCAATGAAAAGAAGATTAGTGGAGTTGTTCCTCTTGAATGAAATCAAGCACTTGATAGCTGGTCAAGATTGTTCATGCTAGAAATCCACTTGGGTAAACATATTCATAAAATTTCAATAATTTCTTGGTCATACTGTAGTCTGCATGGAAAACAAATGATAAATACCTTCCTTCTCTGAAGTGCGCGGTGGCAAGCGTCTGACTGCTCAGTAATGTTCTTTCAACGTTCACGCTTCGCAATAAAATATACAAACGGAAATAAGGCAAATATTTATACGGTATGTGCATTGATCATCGTATCGGTATCAATTGGCGAAGAAATACATTACGACGTTTAGAATTTAAGATAGTCTGTCCAAACCAGAAATGTCCGAAAACTGGTCTACAGCAAACCATACTCGTGGGAAAGGACTGACCTAATCGAGCGTGTTGGCTCGTTGGACGTTGTCTGGTGCATGCGTCATCGTAGGTTCCAACCGTGGCTGTTAGAGACTGATGATCAGCTATTGGACTTTCTTGTCCAAACTCGATTACGTGCATATGTCGTCGTCATATAGCTGGCATATTGGCGGGGATAAGTTAACAAAACAAACACACATGTAATATAGAAATATTATCATGTCTGCTATATGCGGATGTACCCCATGCCTTCTGTATGTGCTACTAGCGAGTTCTCTTTAGTTTGAGCGCCATCCTTGGAGTCATTAGCCGGCGCTAACATGACCAAGGTCTGTTTGGTTCATGGAGGGTAGACAAAGTGTTCTAAGATCTTCGGGTGGAGAATCCACACACACTGCTGGAACTTCCCTCAGGCCTGAACACAACATCACTCCTATCGTAGTGATACAGCCCAGAACAGAACACGGAATTATTAGTGTATTTTGTATACAGTTTCAGCATAGAAAGCTCTGCAGTGTTGTATCTTCATACCTTGCATATCTTTCAGAGTTCAACCTGCTCCAGAGTGCCTTGCGGAGGCCCGCATGATTCATCCACACCTTCTCCGATGGTATGGCGTCAGCCGTACATTCAGAGAAGGGCCCTTTCGCACACTTTTGCAATCGAGCGTCATCACCTGAAGATATTATTAGTAAACACAAATATCTAAAATACAAATATTTGGAATGTTGTATTTCATAACGTGTTTACTCATACTTTTTGTGACGAGAGATACGTTCACTTTGCGGGAACATATGACGAGACACACAAAATATGCACTTTGAATAATTTAAATTCAATAAACATGAACAAAATCAGAATTTGTTTAGTGTCTGTAGGATTGTTAACGCAAGAGCATCAATGGTCTCTAATGTTTGCCGAAATAGCTTTTCAGGAGGACAAATACAAAATGTGTAAGGAAATGATTTGAACGGATCAAAACAAATCAGGCGATGACGTATCAACCTTTACCATCGTCTGCAATAAGATCTTCAACATTGCTCTCAGTACTCATGTTCATCACACCATGCCTCTTCACTCCCAACGTGGACAGCAGAGCGGGCGCTCTATGATGCTGACATAGTCGAATCCAGAACAGACACAGGAGCCCAGTCTGTCACCGGTCGTTGTCAGCGGTGTTGGCGGCTATAGAGGAAACAACGATGGTATTCACCGTAGATATGGATTACTAGAGAGTAAAACATAAAGTCATAATATATATAACACTGTATTGCTTTCCCGAAACCAAAACTATATGCAAAGGCTATCCTGAAGCAACCTATATACCTAGTACCATTTCCATATAATGTTTCTTGGAAACCATATATGTGATAATATTATTCGCACGTATAATTTCAAACTCACAGTTATAAATTATACAAGAACGTTTAGCTTGACCATGAAGACGCTCCGCTACCATTTCACTTTGAAATCTGGAAACATATATTCATTCATTATTGTTTTACTGATTCCTTTGTTTCCAGAGAGAAAACATTGGACAGTGAGTCATAGTGCTGGGTCCGAAAATGTACACCCAGAAGTCACTGCCCTTCAAGATTAACCAAGAATCCTTACAAGCAAGGAAAAAACTTACCAATGAGTGAAGCCCGATACAAGGTTCCACAGCATAAACATATTGCATCACATTTTGTAATCACACAAATAAACTATATCCGTTCCTGTCAAAAAATTCAACGTTGTACACAACTGTCTCAATTTGAAATTGACTTGAAGAGGATACATCCCAACTTTCATGTTCTCTGGCACATAGTTTTCATGTATGTATATTACAAGTTGCTAATGTTACATTTATGTCTTCAACTGGAAATAATGGAATTTCAAAATGTATTTCAAAGTGAAATTAGAAAAGGGCAGCGGCTAATATTTTCAAAATGCCAACGATATTTGCTGGAGTTATTATTTTTTATAATTGTTTACAGGACCAAGTGACTCAGTTTAGTGATTGCACGGGCGAGACGAGGTGTCACATATCTACTGGCACAGATGCTTGTTGAATGGTTGTTGCATACAGAACATGCTGATGGCGTCAGTTCACAAAGTCAGCACTTTCCTCAGCAGCAAACCACAATTTCTGTTCCTTCCAAAACTTCAGACCCACAACGGAATAAACAATCCTTCAACAGAAATAACAGAAATGGTTGTTCTTGAGTTGCCGATGTTAACTTGACTCCATCGAGAAAATAGTACAAAGTTCACTTGAGGCGCAGGCTAGAGTAATGAAGAAAGCTACCTTATATATAACTTCTTATTTTTTTTAATCGGTTATATTGGAGCACATAATGATTCATGGCATGTCAACCTTACTTTGTTGAAGAGACCGCTGCCCCTTACAACCCTGTCAGTCATTTCGCCACACACCTGGTCCTGTGTGAGTGGAGCCCGAGTTCTGCTGGACCGTCACAATGGGCCAAACATGTCAGGGACAGGCTGGACTCTGTGAGTGTCTCTCTTCG